TTCATAAGACTCAGATTTTGCTCTTAATGTTGACTTAATTATTTTCAGTTCATAGTGTATAGCCTTTAAGGAGACTTTCTAATAAACTCAGTTGTTATCAGTGAGAAGCCTCCTTCTGTTCCATGTTTTGGTCTCCTGTGTGGCCCTTTGTTTTCTAATCAAAATCGCAACTTCTAAATTAAGTGAGGAAAGCATTTTGTTCTCACAAACCCATTTGGTGTGTGAGCAAATCAGGAACAAGCCAAGGCTGCCACCTCTTTATTTGTTGTGTTAAGCAATTAAAAAGTGTTACTCTCTTGGTAATAAAGTGCCACTTTGTCCCTCTGGGTCCTCGCTTTGGCCTCTTCCGATCTGGCTCCTTATTTAATTTTCTAGCTGTGCTCCCTCTGGTCTCAGATTCCAGAATCACCCAGGGCTCTACCTGGGTCAAAGCCCTTCTCCATGGGAGGGAAGATACTGAATCATTCCATCCTTTACTCTGAACTCACTGGTCACAGGAGCTGGTAACAGTCCACATCTTAGAGCTGTGTCAGAAACCTCTTGGAACATCATTCTGCCAGGGCAGCTGTCCGTACAAGGGTTGTGCCCTCAGCGATGTTTATATACCAATAGGGAGAGTAAAGTTCAGATAGAACGGGCGAAACCAGGGTATGTAAATGCTTCTGTTCAAATATCCAGATAATTGCTTCCATAAACTGGATATCAGCCATAACACACACTTGTGCACCGAGCGAATGACACATTCAGAGAGACTAAAATATCATAGAGGACATGTGTGGTCTCGGAAACATCACATCCTTTGCTGTCAAGGCTGGTTTGGTTTGACTTTTGATCCAGCCTTTCTGGGTTTTTTTGTGTGTATGTGTGTAACTGAGAGATTTGGCAGAATAAGAACACTTTGGTTGAACTTCTGAGTGTCTAAAATACTTTACCATTCATGATCTTATTTGATCCATGCACCCTGTGTTGTTTGAAAGGCCAGAATTACCTTCTCTTTTTGGCAGCAAAGGAAACTGTGCCCCAGGAGGTCACACACTAGTTGCTGAACTAGTACAAGTAGCCTCAGGACTGGAATTCAGGTCTCCTGAATTTAAGTTTTTGGCTTTTCGTCCTAGAGTAGTGTTCTCATTTTCTTTTCTTCTAGGGTCCAAATTCACCTGTGTGATGAAATGTCTCATAAAAATAGCACATGTGTGCGTACACACACACACACACACACACACACACACACATTTTTGCTATCATCTCAACTCCTCATCATCCCCAGGTTGCGAACCACTGTCCTCCACTATGTCATCTCCAAAAGGGTGACAGACCAAAAATAAGGAAATTCTGAAATAGGACAGTAAGGGTCTTGAAAATGAGCGTCAAGACCAAATTCCAAAGTTCTTTTGCCAGATTTACCCTCTTCTTCCAGAATATATGCTCTCTCAGAGGGAAAGGTATATCCTGAAATTTATTGTATTAAAAAGATACCCTGGGTGGGGGATAGATGTAAAAATGGGAACATGCTGATGGAAAATAAAAACCTGAGAGGTTGGGGAACCACAGGAATAGGAGGAGGGTAAAATAAAGGGGAATAAAAATAATGTCCAATGAGATAGTTGCAATGAGATATGAGATATTTTCATGATGATTTGCCACCAGCGTAGTGTGGATATTTATGAAATCTTTCTGAGGTGGGGGGCAGGAGGCTGATGGGGTGGGGATGGGAAGAAGAAGTTGTGATGTGTGTGAGGGTTGAGTGCCATCAAGGAGACAGGTGAATGGAAGCCAAGTGGGCACAGACTCTCATCACACTTGGCCTGGTGGGACTTCTCCCACACCATGTCTCTCTCCTCTTTGTCTCTCTCATCTGCCAGCCCTAGAGAGCCCTTGCATTAGAACTGATATCTGTTCATGCTGAAGGCTTATAAGCCACTTCTTGGCCAGCTTCCCTGTCACTGTGACTGGACCCTTGGACAACATCTTGCCCTGCCTGTCAGTTCCTGTGGACATCCCTCTTCCCAACTACTGGTTGGATGCCAAATCATCCCCTTCTTGCTTGGAGATCTTCCGGGTCTGCTGGATTTAACCCACCACCCTGCCTCAACCTCCTTCTCCACCACGACCTCTCTGGGTTGCCTGCCTGGTTCTCAACGGATCTTCTGCATCATTCCCCATACGTGATTTCACTGAGCTGGTACCCACTGCAATTGGCCTGAGCACAATGGCAGTGTTGTGTGTCTCAGGATTTTCCCAGTCCCAGTTTTTCTTTTTGATTTGTAACCATCCAGTCACCACATCAACACAACCATGACATTGCCCTTCAGCCTCTGTTGACTCCTCCTGGACAAGGATTTGGAGGTGGTTCATCTCTTTTCTCCAAGCTTGGGATTCTAGGGGATGGAGTTGGGTCTGGAGGTTGGGGGATGAACAGGAAAGTAGAATGAACAGGCACCCAAGGTGTTGAGCTAAGATCTGCAAACTAAATTAGAAAACCAGACCATCAAACAAAGGTTGAATAAGTGTTTCTTGGGGTCTCTGGTCACCTACCCCCAGAAATTCCTTTGCCAAACTTCTTTGGGCCAGCCTTCCCTCCTTTCATTGGTACCTGGCTCCAGCAGGCCCTACCTGAGCACCGGTGATGTCTGTAGATGGGATTATTCAGTGTCTTGTTCAAGGCTCAGGATGTCAGAATTGGGACATCCATCCCCTGGCAAGTAACTCCAGGATCCAATCAGTAATTTTGAAAATTGATGGGAGTTAACAATAACAAAATTGGTCCTTTTCAGCCCCGTTACCTCTGTTACTTTAATGACGGCATTTGTCTATTCAGTGATTCACCCTGAGCTTGGCATCCAACCAACAGATGGTCCGTCCAGATAGTGTCTCCATCCTGATACAGGATCAAGAATTGCTGTTTATTTGTTTGGTTGTATTAATGACCAATTTGTGCTCAGTCCATTAGATTAGATCAGTGAGTGAGATCCAATTAGTTTATTCAAATTTTTTCCTTTAAAGGAAAAAGAAAGGCCACACTGACCTTTTTTTTTTTTTTTAATCATGCATACCTATTCTACTGAAGATACTATTGATGATGGCCCATTCAACTTCATGAAAGCTGGACACAGAATTCAAGGTGACCCAAGTGACAACAGACACATCTAAACCTGATTATCTCCCAGAGACCCCACTTCCAAATACCATTATGTTGGGGGTTAAACTTCGATGTATGAATTTTGGAGGGACACAAACAGTCAGTAGGTAACATCTGGTTTGTGGTAGAAGGCCAGGTAGTTCTGTGAGTCCCCAAGTAGGGTTCCAGATGGCAGGCCAGAAAGCATAATTTATTTGTTCATATTTTGACTAGCACCTAGCAGGGCTCATTAACTATTCATTGAAAGACTGATAGACAGAATGAATGATAAAAAATGAATAAATGGATGCAAAGATGAGTTGATCATAGGCCAGGCTAGCTGTAGAGGAAATAGGAGGTCATCCCTGCCCTCACATGTCTGGCTGATCAGATACAGGCCGAGAAGAGTCCAGTTGACATTAATTCTTGTGCGCCCATCCAATTCTAAAATGCCACAGGTCTCGAGTTCTAATTAGGCATGACCTGTCCTGCTTCTTTCAACCCCTGCCCCCAGTCGTCATCTGCCACACATAAGGTCATTCGGAGGACGGTAAAGCCACTTCTTCCAACTTAAGACTCCAGTCATGTTGATCAATGGTGAGGTCAGCTGTACCAATTAAAATGCTTCTACCTGCAGAAAGACAGTCCAGTGAAAAAGAGCTTAATTAAAGTAGGGATATATTGGCTCAGGTAACATAGAAGTACAGGTGTAGGCAGGCTTCAGATGAAGCTAGATTCAAGGTTCAAATGGTGCCAATAAGACTGTGTTTCTTTCCATCTCTTGGCTCAGCCCAGTATTGGGCCAGCTCCTTTCTCTAGCTTCCCGTGGGGACCTCAGCAGCTCTGGGTTCCCCTTCTCCAAGGCAAGATAGCTACCATGATGCCATGTTTGCCTCCTTCCAGTGGAAAGAGGGGTTGTCTTCCTGAGTCCTGCCCCCACAGATCCTGGGGTTCATCTGATTGTATGGGCTTCCGCCACTGGCTTACTTTCTCTGAGTCTCCAGAAGGAATTACGATGTGCTGTTAGGCTTAAATCAAGGTCATGCGCAATCCCGTACAGACCTCGTGGAACAAGAGTAGTGGAGGGTAAATCTCTGAATAAAGATTTGAGACCCTGGCTCGGAAAAGGGAGAAAGAATCTTGGGAGAATTAACACATCCAATGACAAGTTCCCCAAATGTTCAGAAAGCTGGAGTCATGGTTGCAGCTCCATAAAATTAACTAGACTAAATATGAAGTGTTCCACAGGGATCCCAAAAGTCATCCTAACTAGTACAGGTGTGACAAAGACTCTAGTCAACTAGAAGCTCAGGATGAACCAATAAATTGATTTGCCTATCGGCAACACTAACAAAATGCAATGTGCTCTGATTTTCAACTATTAGAACTATCTCTCATTGGAATGGATGGCCTTAGGAGGAAGTTTCTAACTTGTCACTGGATGTCCTAAAGCAAAAGCCACATGGTCACTTAGAGGAATGCCATTTGGGGATCATAGACTCATTCAGTTGTTCAACACATATTTCCTGAATGCCAAAGGGGTGAGCTCAGATCTCTTGAAGCAGAGGCTGAGACAAATGTTGACAGGCTCCTTTTTAGGGGGAGGAGGCAGGATTGTGTAGATTGAATAATGGCCCAGCAAAGCCTTGGCCACAGGGAACCTGGGCCTTTAGAGAAAATATGGCCCATCAGAGTTCCTCCATTGGGCTAAAATAGCTAGGCCTTTTTACTTGCAATTTGATTCGTTATTGGACGTGGGCCACTCAGGGAAGGAAGCTTGTGTTCCTGCAGGAGGAGTCCGTGTCCCTAGAGGAGATGACAGCTGGAGACGTGTCCTTCTGTGCTCACTACAGCCTACTGTGTGCCAAGTGTTGTTCCAGACATGGAGAATACAGCAGTCAACAAAACAGCAGCAACCTTCAAGCACGAGCAGGCATTCCAGCAGCAGGTAAGAAGAGAACTTGTATCTATTTTTAATTTTTTTCAAGTTTTCTTTATTTAAGTAATCTGTATACCCAACGTGGGGCTCAAACTCGCCAGCCCAAGATCAAAAGTCACACGCTCTTGCAACTGAGCCAGCCAGGTGTCCTGAGAACTTTAAAAAAAAAAAAATAGCTAAATGAATGTGTAGCAAGTAGAGATGAATGCCATGATGGTATATCATGGGAAGGAGAAGGTGGTCACGATGGAAGGAGAGATGGCGGGTAGTTGTGTGGTGGTTGTGTTGTTTTCATCAGGAGGTCAGGGGAGCTTCTCTAAGGGATGCTTGAGCAGAAATGTAGGGAGGTTGGAGAAAAAAGTCCTGCATACATTGGGGCCTGGAGGGTTCCCAGGCAGTGAGCAAGGGGAAAGGCTTTGAGGAAGAGCGAGGACACCATTGCAGTTGGAGAGAGTGAGTAAGGACAGAAGAGGAGGACAGGAGCTTTGAAAAACAGCAGGAAAGCAGATCACGCAGAGCCATGCGACCATGCTTAAACTTGGGGACCATGGTAAAGACTCACAGTGAGAAGATACAATGGAGGTGGCTTGTAGAAACACTCCCTCCACTTAGCTCCCCACTTTATAGAGGAGAAAACTGAATTCCATGGAAAGGGTAGGATTCGCTCAAAGTTGCATAGCTAGCTAGAAATCCTAGAGAAAGTCAGAATGGTGATGAAAAATACATAGTATATCCATTAGGATGCTTTGGGCTGCATGTTAGAGAAACTCCAGATTCAAAAAGGCTTCAATAAAGGGGAATTTAATTATTTCCCATTACTGGAAGACCAGAGTTGTGAGAGCCCTGGGCACAGATGCAAGATGATAATGTTCCTTCCATCCTTCCATCCATCATCCTCAGGGTATAAATCAGGATGTGCTAGGATATGCTGCGGTAACAGACCCAGTTCCAGGGGCTTTTAGGAAAAGAAGTATATTTCTACTTCATGTCCGTGGCCAGGCACCATTTTTATTAAACGGGGGAGGGGGGCGTCCCTACTGTCATCACTTCCAGGCTGACAAAGCCACTCCCACATAGAACATTGCTGATCACCATGCCAGAGGAAAATGGGAACTCTAGAGTGTCTTGAAATGGTGATTAAATGCTCTGGTTCAGAAATAACACAAATCATTTCTGCCCACGATTTGCCGGCCCTCCTACTCACGAATGGGCCAGTAATTGCCATTCTACTATATGCCTAGAAGGCAGAGAAAGGCAGTGAGCGGCACTGCCTTTGATATCGATCAGAGTCAATACCAGCTTCGACTAAGGACTGGTTCCCCCACGCCCCACCCCAACACCTCCTGGTGAGCTCAGGACATTCACAGAAACAGCACTGGAAAAAGCAGAGGCATCAGCACTATTTTTCAGAGCAAGGAAAATTTCCCCAGACCCTCCCAACACTTCCCTCACTTTGTATTGGCCAGAAATGGATCATGTGCCCATTCCTAACCAATCACTGGCCCCAGGGGAACGGGATTCCCATGGTGGTCTTAGCCCAAATGGGGATTTACCCTCGAGATTGGGTCACTTTCTCCTGAACCCATGGACTGGCTGTCTGAAGTTGGTATAGGTTGTTGAAAAAGAAAACTCTTCTCTGTGCACTTTTAGGTAAGCTCAATCCACAAAGGAAGGACACCTTCATCCTGCCAACAATTCAGGTATTGAAACCAGAAGGAGAAAGGAGAAAAATAGATGTTGGGAGGCAAATGGATATTGGTTGGTGGCAGCCAACCTGGTCAGCTACAAAGGGCAAACCAAGAGGGCTCTAAGTGTCAAAAAGAAATAGAATGCGGAGACACCTGACTGACTCAGTCCGGTGGGTATGTGATTCTTGATCGCCCTGTGATGAGTTCAAGCCCCATGTTGGGTGCAGAGCTTAGTAAAAAAATAAATAAGTAAAACATAAAATATACATATATATATAAATATATATATTTGTATATATTATTTATATTAAAATTAATTTATATATTATATTATAATATTATATTATATAATGTTATATATAAGTATACTTATATAATATATATGGTTATATATATTTATCTATTTTATATATATACTACATATATCATATATAATGCACTGCAATAAGGGTTGGAATGAATAACCTTGTAAATCCTGTACAACTCTGAGATACTGTTATTTTCTGTTGGTTTGCTGACCCTACTCTCTGTGAGCACAGGGGTTCAGATCTCATTGCGTGGGGGGACGATCTGAGGTCCAAATCAATCTCCCCTACTCAGTACCACTGATGAAGTCTTGTTAGAGTTCCACATGAGGAAGACATGTTTCTGCCCCTTGCTAGGAAGCTCCCAGATGTGGAATCGGCAATCGTGGAATAAGGAAAGGGGAAGTGAAAGCTCAGGGAGGAGAAAAGGCAGGAAATTATTTAGAAATTGCACAGAGTGGGGCGCCTGGGTGGCTCAGTCCGTTAAGTGTCTGACTCTTGATTTCAGCTCGAGTCATGATCTCAGGGTGGAGAGTCCTGTGTTGGGGCTCTGTGCTCAGCAGGGGGGGCCTGCTTGACATTCTCTCCCTCTCCCACTGCCCCTCCCCATGTTCACAGGCACATGCTCTCCCTCTCTCTCTCTAAAATAAGTAAATAAAATGTTTAAAAAGAATTGTGCATAGTAGAAAGGTCAAGAATACGTTTTGGAATATGGAAATGGAATATGGAATATGGAAAACGGAAATATTATTTCCAGATGTATATGCCTATATTAGGGTTCCCAAATGGATATGCTTTTCTTATCTGTGCTCTTGAGCTTGGAGCCCTGGTACTGAATAGCTTTGCTTCAGGCTCTTTTTAAATTTGTATTTATTTTTTAATTATATATACATTATATATTATATATATAAATACTATATATTATATTTTTATTTTTTAAAAGATTTTATTTATTTATTTATTTGACAGACAGAGATCACAAGTAGGCAGAGAGTCAGGCAGAGAGGGAGGAAGGGAAGCAGGCTCCCCGCTGAGCAGAGAGCCCGATGCGGGGCTCGATTCCAGGACCCTGGGATCATGACCTGAGCCGAAGGCAGAGGCTTTACCCACTGAGCCACCCAGGTTAATTATTTTTATTAACATATAATGTATTATTTGCCCCAGGGGTACAGGTCTGAGAATTGTCAGGCATACACACTTCACCGCCCTCACTATAGCACATACCTTTTCAGCATGTCCATTGCTAATGCTGTCCTGCACCTGCTCTTTCGACCATGCCAATCATTCTCTACTGTGGGCACTGATCTCCAGTGCTCTACTTTGGCCCTTCGGTCCTCAGAGCAGTTTCCAAATCGCTCTTCTCCCATGTGGTGTTCCTTTCTCCAGCTGACTTAGAGAGCCAGCAAATGTGTAAATCTGACAGTGGCTTCCCCTTGAGTAGAGCCCACCAATAGCTCTCCACCAACCACAGAATCAATTCAAGTTCTTTGGCAGGAGATACGGTGCCCTCCTGCCAGCTTTATTTGGAAGACTCCCTCGGAGTTTCTGCTCAACCGCTACACCTCTCGCTCACACCGCCTCACAGGGCTTCGCATCTTTCCGGTTTTGCTAATGATGTTCCCTCTGCTGCCAGTGTCCTTCCCCTCTGCTTGCTGTATTAATTCTTCATTATTCATTCAAGATTCTGCTCATTAACTCATGGAGAAAGCTGCCTCTGACCCCGACCTTGCTCCTCCAGGGCTAGGCTAGGAGCCTGACATCTGCGCTCTCAGAGCCTTCTGTGCCCATCTTTATATGGGACGTGATCACGGACAAGGTAAATGTTTGGTGAGCTGTCTCTGGAGTGCTCTGCAAGCTTGCCTCCTTGAGGAAGGGGACGGGCTTACTCATCTTTTATCCCGGCACTTACCAGTGCCTGGTGGAGAGTAGGCACTACATAGGTGTTTACTGAACAGAAGCATTAAGAAGAGGGTGCAGGGGAGATGCAGTTGGGAGAATGGGAGAGAAAGTTCAGAGGAAGAATGAGGGAAGGCAGAGGAAGGAGGAGGGAAGGCATCCCAGGGTTTGCCTCTGGTGCCTTGGAATCTGGGCTCCCGCTCCAACTTATCCATTATGAAGTTCCAAGCAGAGCCTCTCTGTCTTTCTGGCATGGGGGACCCTCAGTTTGGATCAGGCACCAGTGGGACTTCATGGACAGCCTTCCCACAATCTCTACTGCCCACACCGACAACTGCCCCTGCCTTCAACCTGAACACACCAGCACTTGCAGAAAAGGCCAGGCCAGGCAGGCAGGATTTTGGCAGTGGTCCCCGCTTTTTGTTCTCATTTCCCCCATCTCCTCCCATGGACGCATGCCAAAGACGATGATTAGGACTCCCTCTTGGGGTGGACTCAAGGCTTGGAGTTAGACCTGGGACTCCATTCCGCAGATCCCATGAGCAAGCACATGGGAACACCTCCCTCTCGGCACCCCCTACCCCTTCACCTACAGAAGAGGGATTTCAAAGCTGAGTCTTAGAAGCTCTGGCAACTTTTCTAACTCTGCCCCAGTACTCTGGGAAAAGCTCCGAGAAGAGGCAATAAAATGAGCCATCCAGGGCTGGCGTTGCCTTGTGTCCTTGTCCATGTCGTTGGCGGGGTAGAGAGGAGAGCGCCCGAGGGGAGGCAGTGCATGCCCAGCTCACTGGCAGCGCTGTAACCTCAGGCAAGCCACTTGACCCCTGGTCTCAGTTTAGGAACCTGTAGCAATGGGTTTGGCCTCCTCTCTCCGCCGCGAGCGTCGCCACTAGGGAGAGGCAAAGGCTTGCAGATCCCCCAAGTCTCCGCTCTGGCAGCGCACGGCCCGGGGCTCTGGGAAGGGGTCTGAATCCTGGCCGAGTGCCGGACGGGGCGAAGGGAGCGGAGGTCCGGCCCAGCCGCGGGCCGGCTCCAGAGGGGACACTCCCGCCCCGCTTCCGGCCCCTTCTCCGCCGCCGGGTTCGCCGTTTCGAAGAAGCAGAGTCCTGGGCTCTGGTGACGCGGAGCTTCAAGTGCCGCCGCGAGGGGGGAGCAGCGAAGAGTAGCCCCCTCCCCCGGGCGCCCGGGCGTGTAAACGTGGGTGGCGGTGAGCGGCTGCCCTCCCCTCTCCTCCCCTCGCAGCCTCCCCTCCCCGCGCGGCGCTCCCGCGTGTGCGGGTGTGTGAGTGCGTGTGTCTCCCTCGCTCTCTCCCGCACGCGCTCCGGCACTAGTGCAGGCGGCCGGCCGGCGGCTCCCGGCTCGCTCGCTCCGGCCGCTGCGCTCCCCCTCGCCGCCACCGCCGCCGCCGCAGCCGCCGCCGCCTCTGCAGTCGCAGCGGGGCATGGTGAGTGAGTGAGGGCCGGCCGCCGCGCGCCCCCCGCTGCAGCCCGCTCCGTCCCGGGGAGTCAGCCCGCGGCGGGAGCGCGCTGCGGGGCCGGCGGCCCGTGCGCCCTCGGTGGCCCGCGCGCAGAGCCCCAGGGCCCCGTCTCTCCGTGGGCTCCGCTCCCCTCCCGCCCCGAGCCCGGCTCCTCGAAGGCTGCGCGCTCCGTCCCCGCCCGCACCCCGCCCCGCCCCGCCCCATGACCGGCTCCCCGTCTTGTCCCGCAGGACCCGCCCGGACGGGACCACGCCGCTGCCACCGCCGCCGCCGCTGCCGCCGCCGCCGCCGCCGCCGCCACCGCCGCCGCCGGGAGCCGCGCTTCGGGTCCCGCCTGAGCCGCGCCGCCGC